GAGCAAAAAAAAAATTTTTTAACGACCGGGTCTAGCTCTGTTACCCAAGCTGGAGTACAGTGGCGTGATAACAGCTCACTGCAGCCATGACCTCCCAGGCTCATGTGCACCTCCTGTCTCAGTCTCCCAAGTAGCTGTGCCTATAGGCATACACCACCATGCCTGGCTAGCTTTTTATTTTTTTTTATAGAGATGGAGTCCCACAATGCTGCTCAGGCTGGTATTTTTCTGTTTTTATACCAATACAACACACTTCTATTACTGTAGGTTTGTTCAATGTCTTGAAATCAGGTAGTGTAAAGGCCTTCAAATTTTTCTTCTTTTTCAAGATTATCTTATCTATTCTAGGTTCTTTATGGTATATCCATACAATGAATACTACTGAGCAAAAATATAGCCAGGCATGGCGGTTCACACCTGTAATCCCAGCACTTTGGGAGGCCGAGGCAGGCAGATCACTGGAGGTCAGGAATTCGAGACCAGTCTGGTCAACATGGTGAAACCCCGTCTCCACTAAAAATACAAAAGTTAGCCAAGCATGGTGGCAGGCACCTGTAATCCCAGCTAGTCAGGAGGCTGATGCACAAGAATCACTTGAACCCGGAAGGCAGAGATTGCAGTGAGCAAAGATCATGCCACTGTACTCCAGCCTGGGCGACAGAGTGAGACTTGGTATCAAAAAAAAAAAAAAAAAAGAAAGAAAGAAAAGAAAAGGAAAACTAATGATATATTTGATAACGTGAATAAATCTCAAAATCATCATGCCAACTACAAGAAGCCAGACACAAAAGAGCATATGCTATATGATTTCACTAATATAAAATTCTAGAAAATATAGATTAGTATAAAGAAAAGAGACTGGCGTTTGCCTGGGTTGGGTCCACTTAGAGAATGGACTACAAAAAGAGCATGACAAGTCTGAGGCAAGTAACAGAAATAACTTGGTATCTTGATTATGGTGGTTTCACTGTGTGAACAACTGACAAAGCTCACCGAAATATACACTTTGAATTGATAGAATTGACTGTGCATTGTGGCTTATGCCTGTAATCCCAATACTTTGGGAGGCCAAGGTGGGTGGATCACCTGAATCCAAGAGTTTGAGACCAGCCTGGGCAACATGGCAAAATCCTGTCTCTACCAAAGAAAAAAAAATACAAAAAATTAGCTGGGTTGCCAGGCGCAGTGGCTCACGCCTGTAATCCCAGCACTTTGGGAGGCCGAGATGGGCAGATCATGAGGTCAGGAGATCGAGACCATCCTGGCTAACACAGTGAAATCCCATCTCTACTAAAAAAAGTACAAAAAAATTAGCGAGGTGTGGTGGTGGGCGCCTATAGTCCCAGCTACCCGGGAGGCTGAGGCAGGAGAATGGCATGAACCCGGGAGGCAGAGCTTGCAGTGAGCCGAGATCACGCCACTGCACTCCAGCTTGGGCGAGAAAGCGAGACTCTGTCTCAAAAAACAAACAAAAAGATTAGCTGGGCATGGTGGCACATGCCTGTAGTCCCAGCTACTTGGGAGGCTGAGGTGGGAGGAAGGATCACCTGACCCTGAGAGGTCACGGCTGCAGTAAGCTGTAATTGCACCACTACACTCCAGTCTGGGGATGAGAGTGAGACTCTGTCTCAAAAAAAAAAAGTCAGATAATGCCCAGTGTTGGCAAAGATGGGCAGCTACTAGAACGCTTATACATTGCTGGTGGGACTGTAAAACCGAACAACCAGTTGGGACAACAGTTTGCCAGGCTCTCATAATGTTAAACATGGACCTCCCTAATGACAGAGCAATTCCACTTGTAGGTATTGACCCAAGAGAAATGAGAACACTTGTCCATACATGTGGATAAGAATGTTCATAGCAGTCTATTTAATAATAGTCAAATACTGGAAATAACCCAAATGCCCATTAATAAAGAATAAATTAAAAATATTGCAGTAGGCCGGGTACAGTGGCTCACACTTGTAATCTCAGCACTTTGGGAGGCCGAGGCAGGCGGATCACGAGGTCAGGAGTTCGAGACCAGCCGGGCCAACATAGTGAAACCCTGTTTCTACTAAAAATACAAAAAATTAGCTGGGCGTGGTGGCAGATGCCTGTAATCCCAGCTACTTGGGAGGCTGAGGCAGGAGAATCACTTGAACCCAGGAAGCAGAGGTTACAGTGAGTGAAGATCACACCACTGCACTCCAGCCTGGGCAACAGTGCAAGACTCCATCTCTGTCTCTCTCTCTCTTTGTCTCTTTGTCTCTCTCTCTCTCTCTATATATATATATATGGTAGCATATTCATATAATGAGTACTATTGAACAATAAAAAAGAACAGACAACCGATATGCTACCTTGCCGGAAAGAAGGTAGAGACAAAAGTATACCTACTGCAGGATTTCATTTATACGAGAGTCTAGAGAAGGCAAACTAGTCTATATCAACAGAAAGCAGATAAGAGATTACATGGGATTGGGCAGAAATTAACTGCCATGAGGCACAAGAAGATTTTTTTGAGAGTGATGAAAATGTTCTATATTTGTATTGCGGTGGTAATTACAGATATGCACATTTGTTAAAACTCAAACTGTGGGCTGGGCACAGTGGCTCATGCCTGTAATTCCAGCACTTTGGGAGGCCGAGGCAGGCGGATCACCCGAGGTCGAGAGTTCAAGACCAGCCTGACCAACATGGAGAAACACCATCTCTACTAAAAATACAAAATTAGCCAGGAATGGTGGCACATGCCTGTAATCCCAGTTACTCAGGAGGCTGAGGCAGAAGAATCACTTGAACTTGGGGGGTGGAGGTTGGGGTGAGCCGAGATTATACCATTGCACTCTAGCCTGGGTGATAAGAGCAAAACTCCGTCAAAAAAAAAAAAAAAAAAAATAGAAAATAAAACTCGAACTGTTGGCCGGGCGCAGTGGCTCACGCCTATAATTCCAGCACTTTGGGAGGCCGAGGCAGGCAGATCACAAGGTCAAGAGATCAAGACCATCCTGGCCAACATGGTGAAACCCCATCTCTACTAAAAATACAAAAATTAGCTTGGCGTGGTGGTGTGCACCTATAGTCCCAGCTACTCGGGAGGCTAAGGCAGGAGAATTGCTTGAACCCAGGAGGCAGAGGCTGCAGTGAGCCGAGATCGCGCCACTGCACTCCAGCCCGGCAACAGAGTGAGACTCCGTCTCAAAAAAACAAACAAAACAAAACAAAAAACTCAAACTGTTTACTTAAAATGGGCACATATTATTATATGGACAATATATCTGAATGAAGTTGATTTAAAAACATGTATGTGTGCACGTGTTTGTGGGTGTGTATACTATGCAAAAGCAGCCAGACACAAAAGAATACACACATGAAGTTTATCTGATGTTCTAGAATAGACAAAATTAATCTATGGTAATAGAAATCAAACTAATTGATGAAAATAGAAATCAGAAAATTTTGGTAATCTTGTGGTGATGGTAGTGGTGGAGATAATAGGAAAAAGGACACAAAATCTTTCTGAGTTAAAAGGAAGATTGTTATTTCTTGATGAGATGGACTTGTCAAAACTGCATACTTAAGATGCGTGTGCTGGGCGTGGTGGCTCATGCCTGTAATCCCAGCACTTTGGGAGGCCGAGGCAGGCAGATCACGGGGTCAGGAGATTGAGACCATCCTGGCGAACACGGTGAAGCTCCATCTCTACTAAAAATACAAAAAAATTAGCCGGGCGTGGTGGCGGGCGCCTGTAGTCCCAGCTTCTAGGGAGGCTGAGGCAGGAGAATGGCGTGAACCTGGGAGGCGGCAGAGCTTGCAGTGAGCGGAGATCGCGCCACTGCACTCCAGCCTGGGCAACAGAGCGAGACTCCGTCTCCAAAAAAAAAAAAAAAAAAGATGCATGTTCTTAACAACATATAATTATACCTCAGTAAAACTGAAACAGAAAACAAAGATAATCTGAACTCACATTGCTGCTAGACCTGATCTTCCATCATGCCACCCAGGCACATAAACTAGAACTTACATGTCATCCTATATACCTTCCTCTCCCATACCCTCACCCCCACAAATCTCATTAATCATCAAGAGATTTTTAATTCATCTCCGAAAATCTTTTTGCATGTCATCCCTAACAACCTAGTACTTATCTCCATCATCTCACAATACCTGGACTCCTACATGCACTCTAACCCCTCTTCCATTCTATTCTTTATCCAGCAGGCCGATTAAACTTCCAAAATCCAAATCTGTTTATGTCCATATTTAAGTTTAAAACCCTTTGGCTGCTTCTTATTTGCTCTTAATGATAAAATCCCTTAGCAAGGTCTCCAAGGTCCTATGTTGGCTAGCACCCACCTCTCACCCTTGCTCTCTGTGCTCCAGTCACACTAGCATTCTATCAGTTTTTGGTTATTTAGCAAGCGCCTTCCAGCTACAGGGGCTTTACACGGACAATTCTCTCTGGCTGAAACACAGTTCCTCCTCCTGATGAACTCCTGCTCATCCTTCAGATTTCAGTTCAGACGTCATTTCCTCAGTGAAGCCTTCTTTAACCAGACCAAACCTCCTCAATACGAATTATACCTCTCCTTAGCACAACTGCAATTTTTCATTTGTTGGCCCAATGAATGTTTAATCATAGACTATCTTCCATCTCCACTTAAGTCACATGAGGACAGGGAATATGTCCTGTCTTACCCCCATAATATCTCTGATACCAAAAACAGTGCCTGGTACATACTAGTAGGTATTTAAATATTTACTGAATAAAATTTATTATCAACTTTTTGTATTTTTGGTTTGCTTATTATTCTGTTTTGCCTAGCGATGGCCAAAGTATTTGCAAAAAAACAAGACATTCAAATAGCAGTGGCAGCATTGTCAATATTTTCAACTTTGAAACTGGACTTACTAGAGCTTCAAATGATAATTCACATGCTTTCTCATCAAAGTAAACGAATCAATACAAATACATTCCATAAAATATTTTGGCATTTAAAAATCTGTATTGGACTGACCTGTTTTCATCAAAACCAGGGACAGGAGCAGCTGCTTTTTGTGCTTTTCTGGCAAGAAATAAAGGAGCGACTTTCATTTTTCCTTAGAAAAACAAATACTTAGGTTAGTATCAATGTTTACCATCTCCACCTTTAGCTACTTTCTTTCTTTTTTTTTTTTTTGAGAAGGAGTCTCATTCTGTAACCCAAGCTGGAGTGCAGTGCCACGATCTTGGCTCTCTGCAACCTCCGCCTCCAGGGCTCAAGCAATTCTCGTGCCTCAGCCTCCTGAGTAGCTGGAACTACAAGTACACACCACCACACCCGGCTAATTTTTTGCCTTTTAGTAGAGCAAGACTCTGTCACCAAAAAAAAAAAGAAAAAAGAAAAACTCTTCACTATATCATAACTTTACTTACTAAATAGAAATATAATACAGGTAAAATTTTATGTAAGATACTAAATTTCAATCATCAGCACATTCAGAATAATACCCCAAAACACAAAAACAAAACAAAAACCCCAAAACGTTCTAATATACATCATAAACATCATAAATGTTATTAAATCTGATTACCAGGTACATTTTTAGTGGATGTGTTGAGTTTCTTTCCTAGCACATCATTCAAACACTGAAGTTTCTTCTGATTTTTCTCTGGATGCTTTAAAGCAGTAGGACTTGAATCTATTATTATAACAGAATCCTAAGACAAAATAGGAGAAAAAATGTAATTAAATCATTTAATATCATTGAAATTTCAAAAGAATCACAGTGATAGAAATCATACAAAATGTAATTAGCAGCTCCATACACCTCCCATCAGATATTATCTGATTGAAACAGAAAACACATGATAGAATAGCAGGAGTCCATGCTTACATCATACAAGCTTATATGATATCAGGGTGCGTTTATTATGACCATAGGCTTTCTTTTTTATTCTTTTTCTTTTGAGTTGGAGTCTCTGTTGCCCAGGCTGGAGTGCAGTGGCACAATCTTGGCTCACTGCAACCTCTGCCTCCCAGGTTCAAGAGATTCTCCTGCCTCAGCCTCCTGAGTAGCTGGCATGAGAGGTGCACGCCACCACACCCGGCTAATTTTTGTATTTTTAGTAGAGATGGGGTTTCGCCATGTTGGCCAGGCTGGACTCAAACTCCTCACCTCAGGTGATCCGTCCACCTTGGCCTCCCAAAGTGCTAGGATTACAGGAGTGAGCCACTGCGCCTGGCCTCATGTTTGTTTTTTGTTTTCTTTTTGAGATAGAGTCTCGCTCTGTTGCCCAGGCTGGAGTGCAGTGGCGAGATCTCAGCTCACTGCAAGCTCTGCCTCCCGGGTTCACGCCATTTTCCTGCCTCAGCCTCCCGAGCAGCTGGGATGACAGGCACTCACCACCACGCCTCGCTAATTTTTTGTATTTTCAGTAGAGATGGGGTTTCACCGTGTTAGCCAAGATGGTCTCTATCTCCTCATCTCATGATCTGCCAGCCTCAGCCTCCCAAAGTGCTGGGATTACAGGTGTGACTCATGTTTTTTTTTTAATTGAGACAGGGTCTCACTCTGCCACCCAGGGTAGAGTGCAATAACATGATCATGGCTCACTGCAGCCTCAACCTCCCGACCTCAAGCCATTCTCCCACCTCATCCACCCAAGAAGCCAGGACTACAGGCGCACACCACTAGCCTGGCTAATTTTTGTATATTTTGTAAAGCCAGGGTCTCCCTATGTTGACCAGGCTGATCTCGAACTCCTGGACTCTGGCAATCCTCCCACCTTGGCCTCCCAAAGTGCTGGGATTACAGGTGTGAGCCGCCAGGCCCAACAAGGCTTTCTTTTTTGAAAAAGCAACTAAGGTTGGGCATGGTGGCACATGCCTGCAATTCCAGCACTTTGGGAGGCTGAGGCGGGCAGATCATCTGAGGTCGGGAGTTCAAGACCAGCCTGAGAAACACGGAGAAACTTCGTCTCTACTTTTTATAGCTTGGTCATATTAACTGTTTTATTTGGAATACAGTCTATTAGTTGCTTTTTAAAAAATTTCTGCATATGAATAACAGGTCATATGTTAGTTGCCTTTTTTTTTTTTTTTTTTTTTTTTAAGGTGGAGTTTTGCTCTTGTTGCTCAGGCTAGAGTTAATGGCGCGATCTCGGCTCACTGCAACCTCTGCCTCCTGGGTTCAAGTGATTCTCCTGCCTCAGCCTCCCGAGTAGCTGGGATTACAGGCTCACGCCATCACGCCCGGCTAACGTTTGTATTTTTAGTAGAGACGGGGGTTTCACCATGTTCGTCAGGCTGGTCTCAAACTCCTGACCTCGTAATCCTCCCGCCTCGGCCACTCAAGTGCTGGGATTGCAGGCGTGAGCCACTGTGCCCGGCCCATTATTTTATTTTTTTGGTTTTTTTTTTTTTTCTTTTTCTTTTTCTTTTTATTTTATTTTTTTTTTTTTGAGACGGAGTCTCGCTCTGTCGCCCAGGCTGGAGTGCCGTGGCTGGATCTCAGCTCACTGCAAGCTCCGCCTCCCAGGTTCATGCCATTCTCCCGCCTCAGCCTCCCGAGTAGCTGGGACTACAGGCGCCCGCCACTTCGCCTGGCTACTTTTTTGTATTTTTAGTAGAGACGGGGTTTCACCGTGTTAGCCAGGATGGTCTCGATCTCCTGACCTCGTGATCCACCCGTCTCGGCCTCCCGAAGTGCTGGGATTACAGGCTTGAGCCACCGCGCCCGGCCTTTTTTTTCTTTTTATATATTCAACCAGAAGACTCTCGAATACAAGCATAGCTTTGAAGAGAAGGTGGTAAAATGTTCAGAATAGCCAAAAAGGGAAAACAACCCAAATGTCCATCAGGTGATGAATGGGATATTTGGCAACAGAAAGAAAAGAGATACTGAGGCTACAACATAAATCTTGAAAACACATCCTAAGTAATAGAAGCCAGACACAAAAAACCACGTGTTATATGGTATCATTTATATGAAATGTCCAGAACAGGCAAATCTACAGAGACAGAAGCAGATTTGTAGTTAGTTGTGGCTGGTGGAATGAGGGGATTGGGGGGTGACAAGAAGAAAAGAATCTCTTTTTGGGGAAATTCGAAAATGTTCTAAAATTGACTATGGTAATGGATGCCCAACTCTGTCACTATACAAAAGTCACTGAATTGTACACTTTAAATGGTAAAATGCATGTATATGAATTATAGCTCAATTAAACTATTTTTTTAAAAAGAGGAGGTACTGGCAATTAGCAGGATCTCAAAGTTTAAGTAGGAATTCCTCACATAGAAGACAGTACCTGGAATGTATATTTCAAGCTGATAACAATAAAACGAATACTGTGAAAACTGCACCATTGAGGGAGAAATGAACAATTCTGTGTGACTAGAGCAAAGAGTTGTTTTGAAGGAAGGGAAGAGGGCTGGCACTCTGGTAGGCCAAGGCAGGTGGATCAACTGAGGTCAGGAGTTTGAAACCAGCTTGGCCAATCATCGCAAAACCGTGTCTCTACCAAAAATACAAAACTGGCTGGGCGTGTGGGCGTGGTGGTACACACCTGTAATCTCAGCTACTTGGGAGGCTGAGGCAGGAGAATCGCTTGAACCCAGGAGGCAGAACTTGGCAGTGAGCTGAGATCCAGCCATTGCACTCTCGCCTGGGCAACAAGAGCAAAACTCCATCTCAAAAAAAAACAAAGCGAAGAGGTAGTTCAGCCTATGAAAGATCTTGAGTGACTTAAGAAGGATTCAAACTGTATTCTGCAGACAAAAAATGCAGAAGGCTTTTAAAGTAAAACTGAAAATGATAGTGTCTCTACCACTTCAAGCTATCACACAAACCTACTTTATAACTTTATAACGGTTTCCTTCTCCCATTCGAAACAGCAAAATAGGAGAGAATTTATACCAACAGATATTTATAATACTTACTTCCGTTTCTGACAATTTCTTCCTTTCAGGAAGTGTCTGATGTCTAGAGGAGCGCCTTAAGGGTATCACTATTTCTTCAGTCACCTTTGACCTACTGATGTGTAAAGCTTTTGCTTTTTCAATCAACTGTTTTGCTTTCGATATGTTTTTTGAAGCATTGCTTGCCTAGACAAAAAAATTGAAATATTAATTTACATCACAGGAAAATATATTTAATAATAGAAAAAAATACAATCGCAAATCACATTAAATAATCAACAAATGGTTATTCAAATCTTACCAGGGACCTTAAATTGAAATGTGTCTAGTTATTATTAGTTTACCTTTATTTCTTACTTGAAATTATCCAGGTAAATATATTTACATGTGAGTAAAACACCCAAGAGGATGTCTGCAGTATAGACTTGGCAATCTATTTTTTAATTTTAGTCACCAAATTCAGGCAAAGTACTTTCAAATCTGAACAGTTACCCAGCCTATTATATGCATGGTTCTAGGCTGCAGACCATAAAGAAAATAGTATTATAATACACAGACCTTGGCCTCAAGGCTTTTTTTTGGGTTTTTGTTTTGTTTTGTTTTGTTTTGTTTTGTTTTGTTTTAATGGAGTCTAGCTCTGCCGCCAAGGCTAGAGTGCACTGGCACGATCTCAGCTCAGCGCAACCTCCGCTTCCCGGGTTCAAGCGATTCTCCTGCCTTAGCCTCCCAAGTAGCTGGGACTACAGGTGCACGCCACCACACCCAGCTAATTTTTGCATTTTTAGTAGAGATGGGGTTTCGCCATGTTGGCCAGGCTGGTCTCAAACTCCTGACCTCAGGTGATCTGCCTGCCTCAGCCTCCCACAGTGCTGGGATTACAGGCGTGAGCCTCCACACCCAGCCTCAAGCTTCTTATATGTGATAAAGAAGAAAGAGGCCGGGCACAATGGCTCATGCCTCTAATCCCAGCACTTTGGGAGGCCAAGGTGGGTGGATCACCTGAGGTCGGGAGTTTGAGACCACCCTGGGCCAACATGGTGAAACCCCCATCTCTACTAAAAATAACAAAAATTAGCTGGGCTTGGTGGTGGGCCTCTGTAATCCCAATGACTTGGGAGGCTGAGGCAGGAAAATCGCTTGAACCTGGGAAGTTGAGGTTGCAGTGAGCCGAAATCGTACCACAGCACTCCAGCCTGGGCAACAAGAGGGAACCTCCGTCTCATAAAAAAAAAAAAAGTAGACGGCTGGGCTCGGTGGCCCATGCCCATAATCCCAACACTTTGGGAGGCCAAGGCAGACGGATCACGAGGTCAGGAGATGGAGACCATCCTGGCTGACATGGTTAAACCCTGTCTCTACTAAAAAATACAAAAAATTAGCTGAGCATGGTGGCGGGGCGTCTGTAGTCCCAGCCACTCGGGAGCCTGAGGCAAGAGAATGGCATGAACCCGGGACAGAGATCCTGGGACAGAGATCGCGCCACAGAACTCTAGTCTGGGGAACAGAGTAACACTTCATCTCAAAAAAAAAAAAAAGAAAGAGTACAAACACGTATAGCGCAATTATACAGTATACTTTATTACTGTGTCTATCATTATGTATATACATGACACATACCTATAGAGAAACAGAGACAGATAGACCAAGAAGATCTATTACATAAAAAATACAGCATAAGGCCAGGTGCAGTGGCTCATGCCTGTAATCCCAGCACTTTGGGAGGCCCAGGTGAGAAAATCACTTAAGCCCAGGAGTTCAGGACAAGCCTGGGCAATATAGCAAGACTCCGCCTCTATGAAAAATTTAAGAATTAGCCAGGCATGATGCCTGTAGTGCCAACTACTTGGGAGTCTGAGGTGAGAGACTGGATTGCACCTGGGGAGTTGAGGTTGCAGCGAGCCATGATTATGGCACTGCACTCCAGCTTGGGCAACAGAGTAAGACTATCTCAAAAAATAACAAACAAAAAATACAACATAGTAGTTTAGAGTACAAAGAGTATTTCAGACTGAATCCTTTGGAACAAGGTTGAAAAGGTATTATGATACGGAAAAAGAGCATTAGGTAAGAATAAAGTCTGACCTTTGGGCCTAGCACTGCCATTGGTATACAATGTGACCATGTGCATTTAAATATTATCTTCCAGAGAATGTGCTTTCCATATTGAGTTCAACAAGTTTTTATGTTGGAATTGAGCATACACACACAGAAAGAGGCAGAACAGTTTACATTATGTGATCCCTTTAAAAAAAGACGATATATCGGCCAGGCGTGGTGGCTCACACCTGTAATCCCAGCACTTTGGGACGCCAAGGTGGGTGGATTACGAGGTCAGGAGATCGAGACCATGATGAAACTCCATCTCTACTAAAAATACAAAAAATTAGCTGGGCGGGGTGGCGGCGCCTGTAGTCCCAGCTACTTGGGAGGCTGAGGCAAGAGAATGGCGTGAACCCAGGAGGCGGAGCTTGCAGTGAGCCGAGATCACGCCACTGCACTCCAGCCTAGGCAACAGAGTAAGACTCTGTCTCAAAAAAAAAAACCCAAGAACCAAAAAAAAGAACAAATGATGTATCTATTTAAGCAGAGAAAAATGTCTGGAGAGAAAAAATCTAACTATTAAACTATTATCTGAAAGGATAAACAATAAGCTGTTATGAATATGGAGCTGTTAGGAGAACCAGTTTACTCTTATTCTCAGAGAAACATGAAAAATATGGCCAGGCACAGTGGCTCATGCCTGTAATACCAGCACTGTGGGAGGCCAAGGCTGGAGGATTGCTTGAGGCTAGGAGTTTGAGACCAGCCTGGGCCAAATAGCAAGACCCTGTCTCTACAAAAATAACAAATGAAAAGAAAAAAGAAACAAAAAAGAAAAATCTCACCCAGAAAATTACTAAGATTTTCTCCTAGAGCTAGTACACAAGCCTGGATAAGGCTTCAGAGAACAACAAGGGCCCTGTGGTAAGAGGTTCATTGACAGAGAATGAGATAAAATAATTGATCTAAGTAAGTTTGGATAAAGGTCCCAATTTGGGTACATTTGAGACTTCTCTCGCTGGAAAATTTACCATTAAATCCCAATTTTAAGTAGTACGTGAGGCAAACCAAGGCATAATATCTCTAAAAAAAATTAAGTTGAAGCTGTCCTCTAGAATTAAGAATAAAATATGTGGGACAAAGTTCACCACAGAGACTTTTAACCTTTAGCTGTGGTACAATCAGCTGGAATCTTGCATGTTTTCCAAAAGACTAAGGACCATATTTCTTTTTTTTTTTTTTTGAGACGGAATCTCGCTTTGTCACCCAGGCTGGAGTGCAGTAGCGCAATCTCGGCTCACTGCAAGCTCCGCCTCCCGGGTTCATGCCATTCTCCTGCCTCAGCCTCCCGGGTAGCTGGGACTACAGGCGCCCACCAATACGCCCGGCTAATTTTTTTTTTTTTTTTTTGAGACGGAGTCTCGCTCTGTCACCCAGGCTGGAGTGCAGTGGCCGGATCTCAGCTCACTGCAAGCTCCGCCTCCCGGGTTCACGCCATTCTCCTGCCTCAGCCTCCCGAGTAGCTGGGACTATAGGCGCCCGCCACCTCGCCCGGCTAGTTTTTTGTATTTTTTAGTAGAGACGGGGTTTCACCGTGTTAACCAGGATGGTCTCGATCTCCCGACCTCGTGATCCGCCCGTCTCGGCCTCCCAAAGTGCTGGGATTACAGGCTTGAGCCACCGCGCCCGGCCACGCCCGGCTAATTTTTTTATTTTCAGTAGAGATGGGGTTTCACCGTGTTAGCCAGGATGGTCTCGATGTCCTGATCTGGTGATCCGCCTGCTTCGGCCTCCCAAAGTGCTGGGACTAAAGACCGTCTTTCTAACTGCTTATAGTTGTGTAACTCTAGGAAAGACACTTCCCAGAATCACAAATAAAAACACATGTTTCCTCATCCTATGAACTAACAGCAAGTTTCTTCATCTATAAAAAAGGGTTAAATAATATTTACTTTATGAGATAAATGATGTGAGTACTAAGCACACTGCCTAGAATGTGGTAAGATGCCAAAAAATGACAGCTACTAAATAGAAGCAAAGGAGATACCAATGTAGCAGTTGTTTTCACCCAAGGATTAATTCAGAGTCACCTTGGTGGCTTTTTTTGAAATATACATACCCCTATGGGGAGGGGGGAGTGGGGAGGGATTGCATTCTGAGTTTTACCTGATGTAAATGACGAGTTGATGGGTGCAGCACACCAAGATGGCACAAGTATACATATGTAACAAACCTGCACGTTATGCACATGTACCCTAGAACTTAAATAATAAAAAAAAAAAAAAAAGAAAAGAAATACACATACCCATACGTACTCCAATTCTGCCACGGTGGGGACAAAGAGCTTATTTTGCAGAAACAACTAAACCACTCTTGTATATCTTATCTCTCCCTTTAGAGCTGTAGTTTTTCAAGTGGAAATGATTATTTTCCCCTCCAGGGAATATTTAGCAATGTCTGGACACATTTTTGGTTGTCATTATACAGGAGTTAGTTGGGTGCTACTGGTATCTTATGGATAGAGGCCAGAGTGCTGCTAAACATCCTACAATGCACAGGACAGCCCTCCACAGCAAAGAGTTATCCAGCCAAAATGTCAATAATAGCAAGGTTGAGAAACTCTGCTTTTGAGTCTCTAATCTACAGAAATAAAGGAAAAATTCAATCATGACCTACAGGCAGTGTTACAGACTGAATATATCCTCTGAAAATTCGTATGTTGGAATCAACCCACTATGTAATGGTATTAAGAGGTAGGGCCTTTAGGAGGTGATTCGGTCACGAGGGTGAAGCCCTCTCTCTACCTGTTCTCTACCATGTGAGAAAATAAGAAGACAGCCTCACCAGACACTGCATCAGCTGACGCCTTGATCCTGCATTTCTCAATCCCCGTAACTGTGAGAAATACATTTCTGTTGGTTAAGCCACTCAGTGTATGGTAATTTGTTACAGCAGCCCAAACTAAGATCGTCAGTGTTAGGGAAAATGATCACGATGTAAACTTACTAAGAAAGCTTTTTATAAATAGATTATACTCTGCCTTTATCAATTGCTTTCACCTCACAATAAGATATCTTAATTAACTAGAGGAATGGGATAATAGTGAAAAACATCATAGAGTTGTAGTTAACCAATTTATAAAATACATGAATTTTATTATGGCTCATTACTTCCAATAGTAATGTGCGGTTTTTTTGTTTGTTTTTTAAGGAAACAGAATGGCACTTATAGGACTCTACTATTTTAATTACCTTTTTAGTGTGAGAAATAAAATCTCCATCAGTTGCTTCAGATTTCTCAGATCTTTTGTTAGATTTTTTCTTAGATTTTTTGGGAGTACTAATTCTGGTGAATTTCATTCTGAAATAAAAATAAGGTATTCAGAAACATTTTCATGATTATAACATAAAGAATCTCAATTAAATATAGATAAAATAGAGCTTGTGCATCTGCATGTAATCCCAGCTACTCAGGACCCTAATATGGAAGGATTGCTTGACCCCAGGAGTTGGAGACCAGCCTGGGCAACACAGTGAGACCTTGTTTCCAGATAGACAGATAGAGATATAGAGATAGATAGATAGATAGATAGATAAATAGATAGATAGATACATAGACAGACAGACAGATAGAGATAGATAGATAGATAGATAGATAGATAGATAGATAGATAGATAGCTAGTAGCTAAGAACCAACTAGGGCTCCAATTTCTGGAATGTTCTGAAACAGGAGAAAAAAAATAATTCCCATCAGTTTCAAACCACTGATTCAAAAGTAAGTCAAACTTGCCGGGTGCGGTGGCTCACACCTGTAAGCCCAATACTTTGGGAGGCTGAGTCAGGCAGATCACTTGAGGTCAGGAGTTCAAGACTGGCCTGACCAACATGGTAAAACCCCTTCTCTACTAAAAATACAAAAATGAGCCGGGCATGGTGGCACGCACCTGTAATCCCAGCTACTCAGGAGGCTGAGGCATGAGAATCACTTGAACCCAGAAGGTGGAGGTTGTCGTGAGCTAAGATCGTGCCACTACACTCCAGACTGGACAACAGAATGAGACTCCATCTCAAAATAAAATAAAACAAAACAAAATTAAATAAAATTAAATTAAAATTAAAACAAATTTTTAACTAAATGTGGCAAACAAAGAAGCATTTTTGAAGCTCTGTTCTTTTTCTTCAAGGCTGGGTGCGGTGGTCACAACTGTAATCCCAGCACTTTGGGAGGCCAGGAGGGTGGATTGAAGTCAGGGGTTCAAGACCAGCCTGGCCAACATGGTGAAACCCCATCTCTACTAAAAATACAAAAATTAGCTGGGTGTGGTGGCGGGTGCCTGTAGTCCCAGCTACTTGGGAGGCTGAGGCAGGAGAATTGATTGAACCTGGGAGGTGGAGGTTGCAGTGAGCCGAGATCGCCCCACTGCACTCCAGCCTGGGTGACACAGCAAGAAAAAAAAAAAAAAAAGAAATCCTGTTATTCTTCTTATTAACAGCTGTGTTCTAGAAAAAAAAAAATATCCTCCAATACTTGAAGCATTTTTGTCCCCAGCTAATAATACATGCAGAATACTAGAACGTTAGAACAAAAACAAACCTTACCTAATAGGGCTCTCTGAATCAAAGGGTATTGTTATTAATTCCGCTGTATATAAACTATGCTTTTCTGATAAGTTGGCTGCTTTTGGAGTGGAAGCCTTTAGTGGACTACTATCTTGTACATCTTCAGAATCAATACCTCTAATGGTTTCTGCAGTAGGTGTGCTGCTAATTCTTCCAGATCTTCTGGTTGACTTGGGCGTGGAAACATTTAGCAACCTGTCTTCAGATTCAGCTTCAGAATGTGTAAGCTTAATACCTTTAACCGGTATGCTGGTTTTTCTTGATGATTTATTATTGTTACACAGAGAGGAAACCTTTAGAAGGTCATCATTTGCTCTATCTTCACAAACAAGACTTTCATTGTTAAATAAAGTGCTGCTTTTGAAAAATTCTGCTTTCCTTTGTCTTAAACTCATTCTATTGTGATACTGTTTCTCTTTTAAGAAAAAGGTTGTTTCTTTCTTTTGAGTGTTTCCCTCTCTGTTTTTGCCTGGAATAGCCCCAGTATCTAATGTTTTCTTATTCTTCTTATTTAGCTTTTTATTTTTCTCCTTTGGAAAACTTCCTTTATCAGTGTGTGCCTGTGAATTGCCATTTTTTGAAACCATTTGGATACCAGGATTTTCCATGATTTTTTTAGAATTATCATCTCTTCCTTCTTCATGTAGAGATTTTTCATTAAGGTCTTTCTGCTTATCAGAAGACTTTTTAACTCCATTTTTAAGTGCATCTGATGCTGGCTGCCTAAATGCTTTCATAAATTGCTGTCTTTCTTCTAGAGTGCATTTTGGTTTCACAGCTTCTGAACTTCCAGCTTCCAAAACAGCCAATTCTAATTCTTCCTCCTGTATAACAACATTAGATTTTCTTTTCTGAACTGTCTGTTCATTCTCAGGATCAGATAAACTATTTTCCATTTCAAATTGCTTTTGTTTCAAGAAAATTCGGGGTATTTTCCCTGTCTTTTTGAGCGGAATAGGGTGAACCTGTGCAAGAACAGTAACTGTCTTAAAGCGTACCTGCTGGGACATTTCAGAGTTTTCTGATTCACTTACATAACCACTTTTGACTATTTCTTCAACAGTTTCAGAAGGAACACAAATTGACATTGTAGAGTCTGGTATCTCTTCCACTTTATTTTCCTTGTGACTTCTTAAAAATTCCTCATATGAGACAGTTATTGTACTATCATTCAACTGGGCTGCTTCAGTTACATTATCTCTAGAGTAGCTTGTAGTATTCTCCATCTGTTTACTATCTTTACCATCTTTTTTAAGCAAATTTAGTTCCTCTGCCAAGGGTAAGCTTTCAGATAGATCTACTACATCTCTGCACTTCCTTTTTCTCAACTTTTTGAAGTCATTTTTTGTGGTCCCTTGTTTAGGATTTACTTTTTTAGAATTTTGCAGGGAGGTCATAGTATTTGGTTGACTTTTTGTATCTTTAATGTTTTCTGCAAGTACCTCTACTTGTTTCTTGTAAAGTAAAACAGAAGTACTACTTTCCACAAAAGCAGTATTTAAACTACAGTCTTCTTTGCTATCATCGCTACTAATTTCAACTGGAGCTTCATTTTCAGTTTTAATACTATTTAGTTGATGAGATAAATTAACCCTCCTTCTTTTTTTCTTAAATTCTACATTTGAGAACATTTCCAAAGGTGTCATACAGTCTTTGTTGCTGTCAACAGGTACTGATTCAGATGACTTTATCTTGCACTCTTTCCCTAATTGCGTCTTCTCATTTGTGGGTGAGGTCTTTCTAAAATAATCCAGAATATTACTAGGTTTTGGTGGAGCAAAAACCCTGTCTCTAGTCTTCCCTAGTGGTGATAAATATTTTGTAATTGTTTTGCAGGAAGATCTGTCATCATCTTTCCTTCGCTTTTTGCATGGCTAGCAATTTAAAAGGAAAAAAAGGCACTTATTTCAAGCAAGATAATACAAAATATAAATTTTAAACACGGATCTAATGGTTTACATAATGGGATTAAAAAAAGGAAGCCTGGCCGGGCGCGGTGGCTCACGCCTGTAATCCCAGCACTTTGGGAGGCCGAGGCGGGCGGATCACAAGGTCAGGAGATCGAGACCACGGTGAAACCCCGTCTCTACTAAAAATACAAAAAATTAGCCGGGCGCGGTTGTGGGCGCCTGTAGTCCCAGCTACTCGGGAGGCTGAGGCAGGAGAATGGCGTGAACCCGGGAGGCGGAGCTTGCAGTGAGCCGAGATCGCGCCACTGCACTCCAGCCTGGGCGACAGAGCGAGACTCCGTCTCAAAAAAAAAATAAATAAATAAATAAATAAATAAATAAATAAAGGAAGCTTTCTTTAGGTGAAAAACGTGATACATTAGAAAGAAAACAAGCTTTAAAGTTAAAGGCGTGGTGGCTCACACCTGTAATCCCAGTACTTCAGGAGGCCAAGGCAGGTGAATCACTTGAGGTCAGGAATTTGAGACCAGCCTGGCCAACTTGGTGAAACCTCATCTCTACTAAAAATACAAAAAATTAGCTGAGCGTAGTGGCGCACGCATGTAATCTCAGCTATTTGGGAGGCTGAGGTAGAAGAATCACTGAACTTGCCAGGCGGAGGTTGCAATGAGCCGAGATCCTGCCACTGCTCTCCAGACTGGGTGACAGAGCAAGACCTTGTCTCAAAAAAAAAAGGAAAAAAAAAAAAGAAAAAGAAATCATACGTGTATTAGAAAACGCCATTGAATTATTATTTATAAAACTGCAATTGTGGCCGGGCGCGGTGGCTCAAGCCTGTAATCCCAGCACTTTGGGAGGCCGAGACGGGCTGATCACGAGGTCAGGAGATCGAGACCATCCTGGCTAACACGGTGAAACCCCGTCTCTACTAAAAAATACAAAAAACTAGCCGGACGAGGTGGCGGGCGCCTGTAGTCCCAGCTACTCGGGAGGCTGAGGCAGGAGAATGGCGCAAACTCGGGAGGCGGAGCTTGCAGTGAGCTGAGATCTGGCCACTGCACTCCAGCCTGGGCGACAGAGCGAGACTCCGTCTCAAAATAATAATAATAATAAATAATAAATAAAACTGCAATTGTATGAAACGCAACATACATAGGCTCCGGAGTCAGGCAAATCTAAGTTAAATGCTGGCTCTGACATTTACTGGTGTAAAATGTTAAGCAAATTACTTTTAACTTTTCCATTTACTTTTTCAAAAAATTTAACTTACTTTTAGCTACTTTTTACCTTCTTTCATTTGTAGAATACAGATAATAGACCATAGGGTTGCTATTAAGCAAAATAATGTGCATAAGGTTTTTACCCTTACCATACTAAATGGTAAGTATCGTTATTATGAATAGGGTTTCTTAGCATTAGGGCACCAAAACCAGAAACTGTAACGGAAAGATTGATAAAACAGACCACATAAAAATCAAGAACTGTGTACATCAAGTACCAGAAGACAAGCTGAGTAACTAACTGCCTTGATTTAGCAAAGGAATATCAGCATAACAACGAAGTAGACCAAAAAAAGTGGCATTCCAAGCACTGGTGGATGTATGAACTAGTTGAACTTGAAGATCTTTTTCAGAGCTAAAGTTCAGTGATTCCATATCACGAACCCAGAACTTGACCCTGGGATCCTCTGTGACATGCCAGAAGCACAAAACATCACGTTCCACCAGCATTTCGGGATCTGGGAACTGGCCGTGTTATCTTAAGTCCCCAATTTACTGTGCCCCGCAAATATCTCACAATCCAAATGTTTATCAGGACTTGTCACGACTCGAAAAAACGACACGCTCTGGCAACCGCTGCACAAAATGTGTCACAGCTGTGGGTCCTCACAATGTCCCACCTTTCCCCTTACAGAGGGAAGGTCAGGATCACCTCCCCCCAGACCCACCTCCCAGTCCCCCAAAAGACAGAGGAAGGAACTCAACAGATCCTCGACTCAACCTCACCTCAATCTCGTAGTCCTTCACGGGAGGGGGAGCAGCTGCAGCCGCCATGGCCAGGACCCCCACCATACTCCCCGTTTCCCGGAATCCCGTCTCCTAGGACCTTACGCGGTCCAGCCCGGTCTGCCTGGAGGCCATGGAGGCTGGCCCGCTCCAGTAGGAGCAAGTTTCTGGGATTCTGCAAGTTTCTGGGAATCCGTTTAGGATTCCCCCGCGCCCACCGACTGGGAGCCGGAGCGGAGGCTGGGCCCAGATCAGCCGAGTCGAACACGGAAAGAGGCAATGAGAAAGCGCGGGCAGCGAGATCCCTGAGGCACGGCCAGTGTATGCAGGGTGCCCTCGAAACCGGCGCTCCAGGCTGAGCGCTCGGGACCGGGACCGGGCCTGGGCGGGGAAAGCAAGCGGAACGCAGATCGGACCACAGAGCTTCGGAGGGAATTCTTGTCAATTGGGTTTTCGCGCCGTCCTGAGCGCAAGGGGCGGAGTTTACGGCTGTTTCTGGAGGCTGCGCGGACGGTGAGCCGAGAGGGCCAAAATAACTCCCTTGGCGAACTCGCGGGGGGCGAAACCATCGCATGGTGGAATTGAAAGCCAACCCGGGAATTTGGAAATTTGAACTTCTGTACTATCAGTTTCACCGTTGAGGACGTGATTTCACTAAGTCACCTAGTCAGTTGTTGACAGAATTAAAATTTAGACTCTTAACGCCCTAGGCTAGTCCCTCTTTAAAGAGGAAAATGAAGAAAAAGGAAATAATTTACATTGTTACCATGCACAATAAAATGCTAATATTTGGTCGAGCCTTCTACCTCAATATACGTCTACTCAGGATCCGAAATTCTACTTTTTTTTTTTTTTTTTTTTTTTTTGAGACGGAGTCTTGCTCTGTCACCCAGGCTGGAGTGCAGTGGCCGGATCTCAGCTCACTGCAAGCTCCTCTTCTCGGGTTCACGCCATTCTCCTGCCTCAGCCTCCCAAGTAGCTGGGACTACAGGCACCCGCCACTTCGCCCGGCTAGTTTTTTGTATTTTTTAGTAGAGACGGGGTTTCACCGTATTAGCCAGGATGGTCTCGATCTCCTGACCTCATGATCCGCCCGTCTCGGCCTCCCAAAGTGCTGGGATTACAGGCTTGAGCCACCGCGCCCGGCCATGAAATTCGACTTTTATACCTGTAAAAGTCGAAGTACCTATTCGACTAAGGAGGCATTTCTTCTGTGGATTTCGTCCTCTGGAACAGCCGAGAAAGGCAGTCATTGCTTCATCTGGTTGGCCTGTGTTCAGTCCTCGCAGGGTGCCAGTAATTTTCTGGTTTCTAATCTCATGCACCATTTGCATTGTTTTCATGGGTTTGGTTAGCCTTTACTTTTTCTTTTTTCTTTTTTTTTTTTTTTCCATTGTCCCAGGTGTATTGAAAATATTACAGCATTACAGAAAGACTCAAACAGCTCCCCGAGGCGTTTTGAAATTCATCCGAACTGTAGGCTGGGTGACCTACAGGTTGGACAGACTGCCGAAGTCCAAAATCTTCTGCATTCCTTAGTGTCAGGATTCTACTTCAATGATCTCCCGATCCAGAGCTGAGACCTCGGGAACACAATTGTCTCTCCTTTCTCTCTCCTCCTCCTGCAGCTTGATGGAGATACCTCTCTCTCACTGGCCCCCTCTGAATCTGCTTTATCAGATGCGTGACATAGCCTGCTATCTTGTTGCGGGGCTTCTTGCTGAGGATAATGGCGATCTCCTCACACACGCGCTTGTGCGTATGGAAGTCTTTGCCCAGGCGAATGTAGTACTTTTCTATAATGACCCGGGCCACCTTCTTTACTTCAAAGTTTTGATGCGAACGCGCCCCATGTTGGCGGGTCCTTGGTAAAATAGCTCTTTTTCTTTTCTTTTTTTTACGTTAAAGTTGCAATTATATTAAATATAGCCTGTTACATTTGTTTGAGTGTATCGTTTTTGTTGTTTTTTTGAGACGGAGTCTCCCTCTGTTGCCAAGGCTGAAGTGCAGTGGCACGATCTCCGATCACTGCAATCTCTGCCTCCGGGTTCAAGCGATTCTCCTGCCTCAGCCTCCCGAGTAGCTGGGACTACAGGCGCGTGCCACCACGTGGGGCTAATTTTTGTATTGTAGTAGAGAGGGGGTTTCGCCATGTTGGCCAGGCTGGTCTAAAACTCCTGACCTCTCAACTCCTGACCGCTCAACTCGGCTTCCCAAAGTGCTGGGATAACAGGCGTGAGCCACTGCGCCCGGCACCGCCCTCCACCAGTAATTTGCTGGGCTTTTTTTTTTTTTTTTTTTGAGATGGAGTCTGGCTCTGTCACCCAGGCTGGAGTGCGGTGGCACAATCTCGGCTCACTGCAACCTCCACCTCCCCGGTTCAAGCAATTCTGCCTCAGCCTCCCAAGTAGCTGGGAATACAGGTGTGTACCACCACGTCTAGCTAATTGTATTTTTAGTAGAGACAGGGTTTTGCCATCTTGGCCAGGCTGGTCTGGAACTCCTGGCCTCAGGTGATCCACCCTCCTCGGCCTCCCAAAGTGCTGAGATTACAGGGGTGAGCCACTATGCCCAGCCAATTTGCTTTTTTCATTCAACATGGTTTTTGGGTTTTTTTGTTTTTTTGTTTTTTTTTGAGATGGAGTCTGGCTCTGTTGCCCAGGCTGGAGTGCAATGGCTCAATCTTGGCTCACTGCAACCTTCACCTCTCTGGTTCAAGTGATTCTCCTGCCTCAACCTCCTGAATAGCTGGGATTACAGGCTCGCACCATCATGCCTGGCTAATTTTTTTCTGTTTTTAGTAGAGATGGGTTACCATGTTGGTCAGGCTGGTCTTGAACTCCTGATCTCGATATCCACCCATCTCAGCCTCCCACAGTGCTGGGATTACAGGGGTGAGCCACCACACCCCGCCTCACTTTTTTTCAAAAGCCATTCATGATACATATAGATCTGATTCATTCCCTTTCTTTCCTGGGCATTCTATCTACGCAACACATTTTATTTATTCATTTCCTTATTATTATTATTTTTGTTGTTGTTGTTTTGTTTTTGTGTTTGAGACAGGGTCTCACTCTGTCACCAACCTGGAGTGCAGTGGCATGATCTCTGCTCACTGCAGCCTCAAACTTCCGGGCTCAAGCAGTCCTACCACTTCAGCCTCCCAAGTAGCTGGGACTACAGGAGCATGCTACCATGCCCGGCTAATTTTTTGTATTTGTAGAGAAGGGGTTTTGCCATGTTGCCCGGGTTGTATTATTATTATTTTTGTGAGACAGGGTCTCACTCTGTCGCCCAGGCTGGAGTACAGTGACGCGATCACTGCTCACTGCAGCCTCCACATCCCTGGCTCAAGAGATCCTCCCACCTCAACCTCCCAATTTGCTGGGACCACAGGTTCGCCACCATGCCCGGCTAATTTTGGTATTTTCTGTAGAGACAGGGTTTTGCCATGTTGCCCAGGCTGGTCTGGAACTCCTCGGCTCAAGCAATCCTCCTACCTCAGCTTCTTGAGATTACAGGTGTGAGCCACCATGCCCTGCCCATAAGGTTTTATTACATATAGTCACAACTATTGTGACAGATACCTTCTGGTCTGGCAAGCCCAAGCCCAGCTTATTCACTACCGTCCTTACAGACAACACTTGCCAACACCCTTCTTGGACTTGTGCCAGAATTGCTGTTCTGCTGGTCATCTCGTGGGACTCTCTCTTGGATCCCTCATTAGTCCACAAGCTTCTGGGTGGTGACACCTGGGTTTTGTTGTTTTTTGGTTGTGGTTTTTTTTTTTTTTTTTTTTTTTTTTTTGAGACAGAGTCTCTCTCTGTCGCCCAGGCTGGAGTGCAGTGGCCAGATCTCAGCTCACTGCAAGCTCCACCTCCCGGGTTTACACCATTCTCCTGCCTCAGCCTCCCAAGTAGCTGGGACTACAGACGCCCGCCACCACGTCTGGCTAATTTTTTGTATTTTTAGTAGAGACAGGGTTTCACCATGCTAGCCAGGATGGTCTCAATCTCCTGACCTCGTGTTCCGCCCGCCTCGGCCTCCCAAAGTGCTGGGATTACAGGCGTGAGCCACTGCGCCCAGCCTGCTGTTGTTTTTTGAGACCAAGTCTCCCTTTGTTGCCCAGGTTGGAGTGCAGTGGCACAATATTGGCTCACTGCAACCTCTGCTTCCCGGTTTAAGCAATTCTCCTGCCAGAGCCCTCCAGTAGCTGGGATTACAGGCGCCCACCACCACACCCGGCTAATTTTTGTATTTTTAGTAGAGATGAGGGTTCACTAGGTTGGCCATGGCTGGTCTTGAACTTCTGACCTCAATGATCCAGCCGTCTCAGCCTCCCAAAGTGCTGGGATTACAGGCGTGACCCACCGCGACCTGCTGACATCTGGGTCTTAGTAACCTGCCCTAAGGCGTGCTCTGCTTTTAAGGAGCAGAGCTCAGAGCTCTGGCACCAGATTTGGGCTCAAATCCTGCGGCTTGGAAAAGTCGATTCGCTACTTCAAAAATTTTTTAAATTAAAAAAAAAAAGGGGCCGGGCGCGGTGGCTCAAGCCTGTAATCCCAGCACTTTGGGAGGCCGAGACGGGTGGATCACAAGGTCAGGAGATCGAGACCATCCTGGCTAACACGGTGAAACCCCGTCTCTACTAAAAACACAAAAAATTAGCCGGGCGAGGTGGCGGCGCCTGTGGTCCCAGCTACTCGGGAGGCTGAGGCAGGAGAATGGCGGGAACCCGGGAGGCGGAGCTTGCAGTGAGCTGAGATCTGGCCACTGCACTCCAGCCTGGGCGACAGAGCGAGACTCCGTCTCAAAAAAAAAAAAAAAAAAAAAAAAAGGATTTTTAATTTAGAGACAGGGTTTCGCTCTGTCGCCCAGGCTGGAGTGCAGTGGCTCCATCACAGCTCACTGCAGCCTCGACCCCTGGGCTCAAGCGATCCTCCCAACTCAGCCTCCCGAGTAGCTAGCTGGGACCACAGGCGCGCTCCACTACGTGTTGCTAGTAGTAGCAGTAGTAGTAATAGCAGTAGTATTTTTGGTAAGACAGGGTTTCGCCGTGTTGCCCAGGGTAGTCTCGAACTCCAGGGCTCAAGGGATCCGCCCGCCTTGGCCTCCCAAAGTTCTGGGACTGCAGGCGTGAACCACTGGGCCGGGCCGATTCCCACCTTTATCTCCCAATTTCCTCGTCTGAGCAATGGAGATACAGGTAGGGCTGAAGGTCAGGCAAGAATGCGATGAGCTGTGAGAAGCACTTGGCCAGGTGCTGGTTATCAATCTTGCCAGGCCTCAGCACGTTTACCAAGGAGGCCCAGCCAGCCGCGCTGTGCCGCAGCACGGAAGAGGCGGGGTGAACCGCGGGGCGGGCGGCGCTGGGACCCAGACGCCACCCGTGCGAGGCGCCGCAGCGCGCCCGTCAATCAAGGTCGTCTTGGGGCGTCGTGGGGCGTGGCGGGGCGAGGCGGGGCGGTGCTT